TCCTGCTGACGAGGGGTGAAGCGCAATCTATGGGGTCCCTCAGCCCGACGTATACGCTGGTCCCCATTCGCTTCCTGTATCGTTTCAATGTTCCTACGGGGTGGAAAGATATCCGCCGCGTAGCCACGGCATAATTGTCTGCCAGACAATTACGTTCCTTTTAATCGAATCGCCAGGTACAGGTAGAACGAAGATTTTAATCGCCTCGACTTCTTACAAACCTGCACCGTCTACCATACGATGGCTCGAAGTGATAAATTACTCGACAGAGAGGGAGAGATGGTTGACTGTCAGTAAACAAAGACAAACGAGCGGGAGGGAAGAAAAATCGTAATCGCGATCCACGAACACCGTAGAACCACCCAAAGTATCGGTGTCAATGCGAGCCACGAGATAAAGGATGTAAAAAAATTCCACCCTCGCTGATTCCTTGCATATCCTATTTCCCCAATGTTTCCGTATCCCGCACAGTAGACGCGCGGCATATTTCAAAATGCCCTCCGCGAAATAAATCAGCCTAAAATCGCGTACACGCTACATTTAGATTCAAACGGTACACAATAGTATACGCGTATACCATCGACTGACAAAATCGATAAATAAGACTTTACGAATGGGATACACGGAGACCGTCTTCCTCGTCCTGTTCGAGCCGCGATGTAACGTACGGAGTCCACCCCTTTAGCCCCTGCCCTGACTCCCTCGTGATGTAACGGGTGCATAAATTATACAGGCTGAAATATGCTAATGCTAGGCTCGACCGACGCTGCTATATCGGGGGACATAATCTAATAAAAAAGCCGGCATGCTTTCGAAGGAAAGTCCGTGAAACGCTTTTCGTATTTGGCGCCATTTTGTAGCCAAGAGATAAGATCCGGTGTTTACCGTGCGAGCAGTGTTTTCTGTCTCGAGCTAATTGCGATCGTTCTAATTAATCGACTCGAATGGTATCGAGATTCGTGCCCCGTCGGTATTAACACGCGATCGGCCGCCGGTTTATTACGAACGCGTATGTTACTGGTTCGTTCGCAGTGAGCAAGAATGCGGTGCAATTATTTAATCTTCGGGACGCGCAACTATCGGGCAACCGGTTCCACGTAAAATATCGATATCGCGGTGTCCGTGGAGTAAGACATTCATGAATATTTAAGAGCGACCGCTTTAATATCCGACAAACTGTTTCTCAAGGTGTCACGACGAGAGTCGCCTTTCTTAAATGTAACGTAAATAATCTTTTTTCACAGGTATTACCATCCGCCGGTAAACGTAATTTTTCCTCCCGTTGCCGCTGTGTCGCGCTCTAAATAACAAAGCAATCTCACCGACCGAATGTCTCGCGCGGCCGCGAAAGCACGGCCGCCTGATTCATTATACATAGCACAATTATGTTCCATCCAAGATGTCTCGTCTTCCAGCCGAAGCGTTCCTAATCGCGATGCACCGACGAAACATAAGACGCGCTTACCTGATTGCGAGCGCAGATGGAAACGTTAATAATACAAATACAGTCGAACGTAATCTCGGGATCTGGTAAAACGCTCCTATTGTTTGCAGTTAATATCCTTGCTGGAAGAAGAAAGGGAATTTAATAACACGTGTACTTGTAAAGAGAAAAGAGTAATCAAAGTTTAAATGTAAGGTTAAGATACCTCGGTGAACTTTCGTAAAGATTTTCTGCACGAAATCGTATGAAATGTGTGCAACGGCATTTTGCACGTTAGCATTCCCGTTCAAACACGACACTGCACAACACGATACGTGGAAATACGTTCCACATTATTTCCACGAAATTTCAACCCCGCGTGAAACTATTTGTCACCCGATTCTGAATAGAAATCCTCGTCCGATTCGACTAACGGCGACTAACGGAAAGAGCGACCCGGCACTCTTAGCACCCTCTACTGGAAGTTCGAGAAAACCTATTTCACGAACTAATCGCTCCTGCTCTTCGAGAACGTCAAAGTTCGTCCGTTTTCTTCTTCGATTTTCTTCTTTTTTTTTCCAGTTCTTCGGTGTTTCTTTGGCGGACAACGGGTCATTAGTTCGAGATAACAAATTAAGGAAGCAATGATAGAACGAACATGGACAAGAGAAACGAATTCTACAGAGGTACGTCACATTCATTTTACTGGCAAACGACCGATATATCTAATCATTAGAAATCTGCATAATGGTCAGTTGGCGTGTCTCGTACGCGCACTCCACGTTCAATCTAACTCTGAAATAGCTACCTTCTCTGCGCGTTTAGAAACACTCGGTAGGTGGGTAAAAAATTTCCAACTTTAACGTACATCGACGCACCGTTGAATTGCAGCAATTCGCCATTAGCAAGCCCACAAAAACTGATCTGGAAATATTCATGCTTCAAGAGGGACGAGATGCCGTGGTAAATATTTTTTCAATTAAAAGTCGATTTAAGCCCCGGAGACGACTCTAAGATTCTCGAGTTTCTAAACGATCACTGGGAGAAGAACCGCTAGCGACATCTCTCGGCGCCTCTCCGAACACGCTTCAAGATTTCTATCGGTAATTTCGTTTTACAGAATACTTTAAAAAATTGATATTATTGCAACTATTCGACGGTGATAATTTAACGAGAAATTAAACTTCCTTCATTCCAGGTATTTCGCTTAATCGAAATTCGAGAGCATCAAAGTATTGGACACGAAAACTACCATTTGAGACACGACCAACCCGTTTCGTCAAAATCGCGAAATCTGATACGGCAATGGTCGCTTCGACACCTGTTTCTAATCACCAGACACCACCTTACACCGGGCCGCTCCTGTTTCCCATAAATTTCCGTAACTGCTCGTCGAGGCGTTACATATTCGATGGGGTCAAACAAATAGAGGACGAAACAGTAAGGCTGACCTGACACGTCCTGTTTTACATATAATGGGACCCCATAAGTTACAATGTACAGAGGCGGTAATACACCAGGCTGGCCTGTACAGGACCATGGCCCATGGCTTGTTGGCGCAATTGCACACAATGGTCAAACCGGTGGGCCAGCCGACTCGAAAACTTAAAAAATGAAAAAAGGAGAAAGAAGAAAGAGCATAGAGTGGGTTAGGGGCCCAGTGTCGAAACATTTGGATCCCACTTACCGAGTCGGCCACAATGCATTGATTAATGAAGGACATCAAGACCGACACGCGGTACCCGCTAAGAATTTAATATGGACCAACACCGTGTGATGCCGTCCGGATGTTTTACTAGCGTATTAAGCCTGTCTAACGATGCCCCGGGTGAGAGACGAACATATTTTCGTCTTTGATTTACGTCCCCTTGTCAGGCATGTCAGGTGGCGGATCCACCGAGAATGATTGCTAATAAAGAAGAAATAATGATCCTATTTCTTCCCCGAGGTTACCTTTCGGTAAAAAATGTACACGGTAAGTCGACCGATGTTGTTTCGGATAACTTAATGCTTCGTTTCTCGTACCCTCGTCGTTGCCGCGATGAATAAAAATAAAAGAACAGAGAATCTCGATCGAATTTTACTCATTGTATACCTTTCGAGAACGTATCGAAGGAATGGCTCTTTTCGGAACGTTCGACCTTAATTAAACGAAATTCTACACCCTGCTACTGCACCTGGGGCGGGGGAGGTTCGTCGACAGAAGGTTTCTCTTCATTTTTCTCCGTTCATAGATACCATAAATTCGCTCGCGGGCACAAACTTAGGAGCAATACCTCGCCAGACGTAAAACTTCACCGACGGAATCATTCCGGGGGAGTTAATAAAAAATTCGACGGTGCTTCGCGTCGGGTGAAAGTCGTTCAATCTCGGTCCACGGTTGAAACGTATCGCGGTAATGAACGCGAAACAGTTTCTTGCGCCAAGCACCTCCTCGAAATCGCGGCGCCGCAGTAAATTCTCTGCATCACGGAACAATGCTCCCGGCCCGTACGCCGCGAGTCTATATATTTTTTGATCCGGTCCTTCGCGAAACGTATCGCCGTACCGCGTCTAAGTTATTGCCGCGTGGATGAGCAAAAGGTATTGTTCGATTCGGATGCACGCGCGTATAGACGGCGATCGGGGGCCGGCAGGAATAAAGTCACATTGTCAAGGATGGAACAGGCGGGAGTAAGACACGCGGCCGTTCATCGTGCAACGGAACGATGGCGAACGACGATGGACCATTAGTCAACGGTTACCGTGGCTGGTGGAAAAGAGCTGAGTTTAAAAAGCTTGCCGTTGTGGCCCGGTAATAAAAACTCCTTGAAAATCTGACTGCCTTCCAACGCTGGACCTCGCTTCCCTGTTTTACTCTCGCTTTTCTGAAATACCTCTGATTAACTTGGTTCGCGTGCTCGCGGAAAATCGCTTGAAATAATTACGGAAAATTTAATTTGCTCGATTCGCTACGCGACTGGAAAAATTCGCTGGAAATTCGCAGGAATTCGGGCTGCTCGTTCGAGAGTCGCGTGTTCCGAAATCGAGAGTGGAACGGGAGAAGTATGATAGGGAATATTTATGAAGGTTTGCTTTACGTTTTCTTTCCTTTTAGTAGGCATTCGGAATAGAAAGTTCGAGATAGATAGATGGAAACGTATTAATTTTCAATGGGAGTCTGCGAGTGTTTGCGAGCGTTTGAGAGTGGACGTAAGAATAGAGAATAACGTCGAACGCTATACGTTACGAATTAGGGTGCATCTGTCAGAGGATACATACGCACGCATACCCGGCTGAACATTTTGATCACGTAGTAATAACGCGTGTACGCGTACGCGTGAAATTTCATTTGCTAAGTATTCGTCGGCGGGAAGCGCGGGATCACGTACGGTAATCGGTCACATCTACCAATCATCATTATCTATGCAAATGTGTGAAATATATGACAATTAATTTTATTGATCGCTGGACGGGAATGTGCGTCGGGTGCTTTGCACATTCCATCGATTTATTCCCCTCTTTTTCCCCGAAATTTATCCGACCAACGACGAACAAATTACGACAAAGATCCGACAATTTTTTACAATTTACCGTTCCGACCTGTAAAAACTGATTACGCCATAAACCGCGTACCTGCGTTAAAAAGTCCCATGATTCGCCTAATGTATCGCTAAACTCGTGTTAACCAGACGGTCGTCAAATTTTTTCCTCCCAAGCCTATTATCCGAAATGGCCGTCGCCTGCAGCCCGAGCAGCCTGAAAAATGGCCGCCCTCTGCCACTCATGGGACCCGAGATTCAAAACGACGTGGAAACAAGTAAAAGTGTAAGTACCCCTCTTTCCTCCGAAAATATTCCCCCTCCTACAGGCTCGCGTTGGTCCCGCGCGGATGCAAGAGGACACGGATTTTTCCAAGCATAAAAACTGCAAACGAGATTTCTCGAAAGCGTGGAAAAATATTAAAACCATTACGAGGGACGTTCATTCGATTCGAACAGGATTAAGCGACGTTACGGATTATCCGATTGTTGCTCGGCCGGCTGGGGAAATGTATGGTCCCTATATTCGCGAGTTATTTCGAACGATATACATTTTATTAAAATCGATTCGTTAACAAGGCGCGCTGGGCTCGACCGTACGATAAATTACAGCGTAATATCGGAATACACGACGAAACAATGAGAAAGGATCACGTTGCAATAACACCGCGTTTGAATAAGTTCCCAGATACGTACGCGGTCGCGATGTAAATTCACGCAAGACTTACGCCAACCAGAAAAATAGAGGAACACGGCACGCGTGTGTGCGTGTGCGAGGAGAGAAAGAGAGAGAGAGAAGCAGAAAGTGTTGGCGAGGAAGAGAGAAAGAGAGAGTATGTGGAAAAGGTATGTGAAAGCATCGTACTCCACCGGCGAGCTTTTGTCGGCGGTTCTACGCGCAGTACGAAACGAAAGAATAAAATTCGCACTGTCCCGAATGGTATTGTCCGCGAGAGCACTGTAATCGATCGTCGCTCGATGAATGCCAGGAATAGGTGGCGAGAGGCGAGATCGAAGGGTGGAGGAGATAGGGTGCTGCGTGCACGGACAGATACGCAGAGCCGATTTTTATTACCAGCCACCGCTTCCACGAGCTTTGTAATTCAGACGATCTATATGAAATCTCCCGGCCACCTTTATCCTCCGCATAAAGGAGAAGCCCCGGTATCGAGAAAGTCCATCTTTTAACACGTTTTTTCACCGGCTGAACGTCGAAACGAAACGTTGATGAACGACAGAAGAAACGTTTGCGTCTTATCGACGCGATATTTCGAAGGAGAGAAATTCCATGGTTTCCGGGAAAGGCTGCTGCTCTGCAGCGACGTCGCGAGGATGTCACACGCGAGGACGCGTAAATACTCGTTTTACGATTCCACCTTGGACCCCACCCGGTTCTCGCTACTGTCCCACCGGTTCCCGCGAGCTAGGGGGGAGAAAAGCAATTTTTAGGTTAAAAGTGGGACGCAAAGTAGCGCGAAAAGTTAGATTATTAAAGTCTCCGAATGGCCGGAGGAGGCGTATTATCCGCGCTTTGGTTTACTTCAGATTAAGAAAGTTCAGCCGGCTCGCTTTCGCGTCAAAACCGGGCGAATCATAATAACGATCCGCAAATTCCACGTGTACTCGAGAGATAAAAAAAAAGGAGGAAGAAGGAGAAGAAGGAGAGGAAGAAAGGAATAAAAAGAAGGCAGAGGGAAGGGAAATAAATAGGGAAACGAGGAGAAGAGGGATAGAAAGGGGGTGCAGAGCTCGTACATCGGAATTACATCGCGAAAAGTTTTTCCGCGACAGGCGAATTAATAGTGTTTACAAACACTCGGTGTAGGATGATCGCGAGCTTATATCGGCCGATGGAAGCTACTTGTTCCTCCGCGTACGTGTGTACACCCCTCTATCGTTATATTTATGCCAGCTCGAAACGTTGCTTTCCCACGCGAGGAGAATTACTCGCGTATCTCACGCACGCGCTTTTACACCGCTCGACGTTGATCGACGAAATAATATCAGATCGTAGCCGGATAAAAATGTCCTGCCTTCGCGGGACGTATGTAGGTACGTTTGTTCTCTCGCGTAATGGAATTATCGTTCCGCGGGTACCGCGGCACGCGATACTTCGATTACGCCAAATGCTCCCTTTCGCGGCTGCTCGCAAACCCTCGCTCTATGCCACCCCTTTCCACCACCGCACCTTCGTCTTTCACCCCGCTCTTCACCCCTCTATCCTTCGCGTTCGCGGTTGTTCGATGCATATAATTCGTACTTAGACGAATACGTACCTGGGAACTTACCACGGCCAATTACGATAGACGTTTAAGAGGGATTACAAGCGGGAACAAGAAAAAGATTAGAGGTGGAGAGTTCGCGGCCCGATTTACATCTCGAAAATCTCGCGTCGCGATCTTCGCTCGAAGATCGATCACTTCGAAAGGTAAATCGACGTCGATACGCGCGCAAAGGAAGAGGAATGGTAGCAAGCTCGTGAATAGAACGTCGCCAAAGAACTTGAATGACTATTCGGGGCACCGAGCAGGAATTTCGTTGGGAAACTTCTTTCCATCCGAGACGATGTACAAGCGCGTGCAAATAGCAGCGAGTCCGAATGCACGAGACACGAGTATCGTCTGGAATGACGCTTTCTTCGACTTACCTGCTACCGGAGGAGGACATTTATAGATCCCGACGTTAAGACCCGTCGCCGTGACGATTCTCTGCTCGTGGCGTACGAAGGCGAATATCGATGCATTTACCTGGAAAAAGAATATAATATCGTTATACATTTGAACGTTACTATGAGGATAATTCGCGGTTATTGTACAGAGCCGCGAATTAACCAGCTACTGTTTAAACGAACGTTCGATCATCCTAATTAGACATTTGATCTCGTTCTATTATGTTATAGGGGCTGTATCGTATTGCAAGGATGAAATAGAACAAAATGTCATAATTAAATCACTCTGAATTCGATATGAATCCGTATTATTGTGTATCGCTATTACACGGATATTCGCGTCGATGCTATTGTACAACTTCGTACTTTGATTGATCGGAATGTTTTGTAGTTCTCTATACAGCTACCAATCAATTATTTCTCGCAAATTTAAGTACAAATTTGATTTCGATGCAGTGATTTTACTCTACAGTTGTATTAAATATCCCCGTACATCGCGTAATGGAACATATCGATGAAATCGCAATCATTAAACGCGAGGATAGATCCGAAGCGTTAACATTCTTACTGACAGGGCGAAACGTCACGAGTTTATCTTCGTTTATCTTCGCGATAATAAAGAGCGATCAACCTTGAGGTGCAAAAGCTTACGAATATCGCGCGAGAGAGGAACAGGTCTTTTACCTGGACGCAATTTGTCGTGAAAACCTTGACGCGCAATCCGAAAGCAAAACACAAAACGTGGAGGGCAACGTCCAACAAACGGGCGCACGTACGCGTGGCCTTTTTGTACCGGAACCGGGGACCAATGTACGTAGCCTGCTCGTTTGCTCCGTGAAAATATTTCACATATTTTTGTTAGGAATTAATCCAACCCGTAATACTCGTTGGCCAGCGTGTACACCGCTGAAAATTCTCTTGACAAACAACCCTCTCGGCTGCATTCATAGTCGGGGCTCGCTAAAGGGCGCGACGCTTTTGTGTTTGTACGCTTCTCACGCGTGTATACATGGGCCATGCGACCCGCGTATAGGAACAGTGAAAACGCGGGGAGATCCCGACGAAATGGTCAGCAGTACCCTCTGCCTCTTCCACCGCCACCTCTTCCTCCTCCTCCCCCTTCTGCTCCTCCACGGTAACACCCGTTTACAGTCCCTTGCACGCTCACGCGCCTCTATTCGTAGCGCATGGAATTCCTCAAGTTTGCCCAGGGACAGAAATTAGTTGGAGCGACGTAATTGCTCGAATGTATGCGTTCGGCCGTTAACGTTATGGCACCTCTCATTACGGTCCTAACAGCAGCTGACACAGGCAGCAGACGGGTTCATCCCGCGTGTACGGTTTATGTATTGCGGAGACAAAAATTTAAGCGTTGTCCTGGGAAATCCTCGAAAAATTCAACGATAAATTCACGTCCCTTCATGGCGACCCTTTTTTACACGAACGTTATACTTACCGAACATAAGAGAAAGGCAGATGTCGTTAAAAGGGACTTGGTAATTTTATTGCTTCCTGTTTAGGATAAAAACAAACAAAAACATTGTCGATAATATGTCAGTTAACAATGGTCCCAATTTCGTTAACGATCATTATTCGAGACTGACGCGGCAAGTGAACACAGGCACATTATTGTCATTCCATTGGGTCATCCCGTTAGTCATGATTAAGCAAATTTCATACCCGAGCTATTAATATTAGAGTGGTTGACCGCGCGATGTCCACAAAATTCCCCTGGCTAGTATAGAATGCATATACTGACCCGACAACTACAGCCCACTAGCAAACTTCCTGAAGTTGATTAAACCGGAAAAGGCTTCAGCTGCTGCGCCGGAGTTGAGACGACTTTGTTTCAAGCACGATTGTTATTAAATCCTAGATAGGATAATATTCTCAAATAATTGAAACTATACATTGAAAATATAAAAATTTCAAATAATAAAATGATTTTACCTAAATGCTTAGATATCTGATTTCCGTAAGTATGAATATTCGGACGATATGGTAAGACAACAAATAACAGCATGATATCAACTTGACACTTGATTCGACTAAAATTTGAATCTGCACGTAGTTACATAACTACATAGAAAACTTCTCAGACCTTTTTTGTCTATACATATATATAATTCTATATATCTTTCAAAAACCTAACATTTTATCCTTACTTTCAGAAAGTTTTCTTTTATATTATTAAAATATTTAACATTGTAATTTAATACCGGTATACATTATTATACGTACATTGTTTATGACATTAGTACGATCTCTAAAAATTGAAAATCTGCGGCTTGTAAACTGCCTTTAGATATGTTGGAAAACTAGGTCTCTAAAACATCGACTGTGTCTAAGATACTAGAAAATACGAACACGAGTTCTTTGCATACATCTGCCAGAAAGTTCATGATTTGTTTAAAGTAATGGCATTTGCAACAAAAAATGTACGATATTTATACAAAATATACAATGCAAATACAACAACTGTATATTCAGCACTTCGTCTACCAATTGCTCGAATATCAGTTGTTCAGAAAATGCAAAGACAATTTTATAACACAGAAAGTAAGTGATTACAAAAAATATAACCTCTTAAAGCCGAGCACGCACTAGCCGCATGTTGTTCATTGTACAATTCTTCAAATAATACATAATGAAAAATCTTTTATTGATTTTTCACGTAAACAATATATCGTTACATAAATAACAAATACAAATGCTTTCAGTTTTTATATAACATATAACAACATGAATAAATATTTTGTAATATATGCTTTTGCAGCACATAGACCAAAAATAACAGGTAGTTTAACAAATATTCAATCATCTGGAGGAACTGTACAATCTCTAACACAAGATAGACTGGATAATAAAAAGTCGACTGAAGAAGCAAATGAAGAAGCAGAGGAAAAGGAAAGACGAGAACAGTCACAAAGGATGCTTAAATATAGTTTTACATTTTTGGGAGTATGCACAACTCTTGGACTGTCTTGTATAGTATATAACTTAACAAAAACTAAATACGACGAACATGGAAATGTGATTGAAGATGAATTCGCTAATTTACCATTTTATGAAAGATTATATAAAATGTTCAGACGGGAATATAACTATTACACTAAGGTATCAAAAGCATAGAGTATAATTAACAGGTACATTTTTATATATTTTACTCTTAATTTGATCATATGCTTTTTAGCTGTTACAAGAACCCAGCAGAGATAAACTACTTCCAGATCCACTCAAATTACCTTATATTCAACCTCCATATACTTTGGTACTGGAATTGACAGATGTACTGATACATCCAGATTGGACAGTAAGTAGTATGTTTTTCTTTTTTTTCCTTTTTTAAATCTATGTAGCATGCTTCTCATAAATATTTATTTTTGCTAATTGTTTTTTAGTATGAAACTGGTTGGAGGTTTAAAAAAAGACCTGGAGTAGACCAATTTCTAGAGGCCATAGCACCACCACAATTTGAAATTGTAGTATATACAGCAGAACAAGGAATGGTACGAAATACTAATTAGCCAAATTATTGACTAATTTTATTTATCATTTCAATTAATAATTTATTCGATAAATTCCTCAGACTGTTTTTCCTATCTTGGATAGCTTGGATCCTAATGGATATATCATGTACAGACTAGTAAGAGATACAACACGTTTTGTAGATGGTCACCATGTTAAGGATTTAAGTGCTCTTAATCGTGATCTTAGTAAAGTAAGTAGTAAATTTATCTATTATATAAATTAACATCTTCCTAATATATTTTATTATATCATTAGGTTATAGTAGTTGACTGGAATCCAGTGAGTACAAAATTTCATCCTGAAAACACTTTACGACTACCCCAATGGACTGGTAATGACGATGATACAACGCTATATGATTTAGCTGCATTCCTTAAAAGTGCGTTTCTTTTCATTATTTTAGGCAAATTATGTATACATGAACTTACTAATTTTGTTCGACATTGTTTTTACTAGCTATATTAACGACAAATGTGGAAGATGTACGAGAAGTTCTCAATTATTACAGACAGTTTGATAATCCATTACAAGCTTTCAGAGAAAATCAACGAAAATTCTTGGTAAGTATTATGCTAATATATATTTTTATAGTACATCCAATATTTATTATCTGTAAAATTTGTTTAGATGCAAATGGAGGAGGAGGAAAAAAGTAGTAATATTGTTACATCAAAATGGAAGCCATTTTTTTACTGGAATCGCTAAATCATTAGAAAATGTAATGTTGTAAAATATACAAAAATTTGTAAATTACCATTAACATGTTCGTTCATTTCTTCGATGCATATTATGTAATTATTGTATAATTTTTACTATAAGTAAATAAACAAGTAATTCATATATCAAGATATTTCGTTTGATTATTTCATTAAAAAAAAAAAAATAGATTTAATCTCTATTTTAATTATAGAATTAAATAGTTTAACATATTTTACATTTTTTGTCTTTTTCGTACATTTTCCTTTTTTCTAGAACGTACAATTTTCACTTTTGGTAAAAGATCTTGTAATGCATTACTATCATCTAAATAATTCATATCTAGTTCTTGTGATACACTTATTAGTTCCTGCGTATTAATTGGTGTTGATACATTATCTATTTCTTCTTGTGATGAAATTGGTACTTTTGCATCTGCAGATTCTAACCAACTTAAAACTTTTTGATGAGGCGCTGCTATTAAAGGTAATGGAACCTCTTCGCATATTTCCCATACAGCTAAAAGTTCTGGTGCTAATATATCCATGTATGTATTTAACTTTTCAAGAGGCTGCTTCCAACTCGGTTCGAAACAATCGTCCGAGTTACATTCATTGTACTTTAAACGTAATTTTTTATTTGTAAAATCTATTAAAATAATATATTTATTTATTCGTATACAATATTAGTTGTGTACAATTACAACTGAATTTACAGTTTTCAATAAAAATAAGCTAATATTTAATTCACTCACTTTTAAAAGGATGTTGCATATTTAATTTGCTAGATATTGTAAGAGGTACTACAGTATCTGTTTGTATTGATATAGCTTTTTCCCAAGCATTCAATATACAATACGACCTACAATTAATAGGTGAGTACTTATCTAATGCAGTATCATGTGTTATGCATTGATAATATATGTCACCTGAGAAATACATTATAAGATTTTTAATAACAAAATACAATAAAAAACAAAAGATATAATATAAAAGACAGAATAATACACATACCAATAGAATTTTGAAGAAATAAATATATATTCTGCATACTGTCCTTAATAAGAAAAGAACCAGTATTAGACAATTCAAACCTATCTCTCAAATATGGATTTAAACACATTCCTTGCATTTGAGATTGGTCCAATGTTTCTTTCATGTGAGGAGGAATATATGGAAAATTATATGAGTGTGAAATTTCACTAGTTGTCCAAGTATTTACAATAACTGTAGTTTCACCAGCAATTTGACTGGATAAAACAACAAATTCTTTATCATCTCTAAAAATAATTAGATGATTATTTACACATTTAAGAATATTTATGAACATACAATTGAATTTTTATTTTCCTTTCTATTGCATTTTCCTTACCTATCTATTGTATGACCCATAAGTGGTGGACTCTTAAGTTGATGAGTCCATTTTTGTTGTACACACTGTTGTGGAGAACGATTATCACACATCAAAATGCTATGATAAGTTCCTATATATCTACAAAAATTATTTCTACTAGCGATATCTAATGAAAGATATTCACATTTTTCTAAATATAATTTTGGGCACATTGTCAATACTGGTCGATTAAATGGAATCTGTAACATGAAATGTATTTATCATTAATTTATTCTAAATAATCTTACAAACAAGAATATTGTCAAAATATTTAGCAGTTGATAATATTTTTGTTCTTACCCGAATATCAAGGTAATGAAGACAACATCTGTCTGTAAATAACAGAATGTTGGGATCTATAGATTGAAATGTTATACTGCTCCATGGATCATCTAGTACAGTAGTTTGCATTACAGTATTATAATTTATTGGTTTCCTACAAAATTCAACATAAAAACAAATTTTCAATTCATACAAAAATGTGCACATTTAAATTAATTATATTTACATTTTAGTTAAATCCCATAATGTTACACATCTTTCAACATTTACTAAGCAATACTGATTTACATTAATAGGATTTAAATCTGCACTAATATAAGGAATTTTTGATGTTTGCGTATGTATTTCAGTTAGATTACATTTACTGTTATGAACAGATAATACATAAAAATTGCAATGCTGTTTATACCTGCCTAAAACCATACCTAAAATATTAAATTAAATATTATCAATTTTATGATAAAAACTTCAAATTAACAACGCTATTGCAATTTTTTTCAATATCATTTGAAGAATACAGATATCTATACTTACATGTATCAACACTGATATTATGTTTTAATTCATATAAAGAACCACTGAGTTCACATTTAGCTGCCTTTCGCAATTGTAATTTCCAGAAAAATTCTTCTACATTATCAAGAGGTGTACTGACTAAAAATACATTATAACAAAATTTGTTATAAACATTGTTAAACTATGAAACAAATTATTTTGTAATAGTAATACCTAATTCTCCCATAAATGGGAAAAGTAAAATATCTTTATTATGTAATTGTACATAATCTATAGATCCACCAGTATAGTACCAATTATAGACCTAAAAAAAATTTACATAAATTTGAATTTCTGCTAAAAATATGTAGTATTTTTATCAATAGTACCCTTAATTTTTATATAAATTATAACTTAGTCTACCCCTTCGAAATAAGGATCTGGATCTTTATCAATAATTTGTGCTAAGTTTGCTATATATTTAGGCACTTTAGCAATAAATGCATGTTTTGTACGATTCCACTTTATATCCTTCTTATGTATTAGTTCTAACTCTATAAAAATATTGTTACCATAAATATAAGTTTTTGTTTATAAAATATAAAAGATCTGTGATTACATTACCTTTCTTGTGTTTCAAATAATAATGCTTCATTCTATCTATATCACTGTTCATATGACTTTTAAGGGTGACCAATTCTAATGCAGGATCTCCTTCATTCAATACTTTATATAATATATAAAAATATACAATTATATTCATTTTATAAACTGCTATTTAATGAATTCAATTTACTTACCATTTCTAGGTAATTTAGCAGGTGGTAATAAAGGTTTTGGTAAATCACAATGATAAGGATATTCCTGATATTGTTCTACTACATTTTCCAAATCAAAATCATCCACAGAAAAATTGCTATGTAAATTATATCCAGGTACTAAATAATGAGGATGATGTTTCAAAAATGCCAATTTTAATTTATTTTTTAAATTTGCTTCAGCACGTTTGTATGATTTTGAAGTTAATATATTTTGCTCTTCCATTTTAATTACTTTCTAAACCTATAATTAACACTTATTATTATAAAAGCTAATACTTTGTTTATTTATTTATTAACCTATGAAAGCAATTATTTTACTTCATAATATGTATAGATAACACAAACTTTAGTTTTTATTAACATTTTATTACATATTTTTAATATTAATCATAATAACAATCAATCTTAATAAAATTTTTTTCAAAATGTGATGTGACAGCTACATACACGTGCTTCTGGCATGGTACACAAAAGTATGCTGAACTACTTAGATGGAATACATGCTTACAGAAAAATGCATAGCAACGTGCTCTGTATTTTATAAGGAAATTATAATCACCAATATTTTTTAAATATAATTTTTCAACATAATATTTTAATTAAAGCATGTGTTAGAAAATAAATAATTTTATTATGGAAAAATATATTATAATAAAAATAAAAAGAATATATATTTATATAATATGATTGTTGGTATTTCTAATAGTTTTGTTGAATACAAAATAAAAATTATATTAATAACTTATAATGAAAGTAAATTGTACATAAAAGTTGTTCTTCTTTATTTTATATTTGTGCAGAAAACACAAAGTAACCAATACAGTTTTTATAGAATTACATTATTACATAAGAATTGTTGATAAAAAATTGTTAATTGTATTATGAAATTTAACGTAATCATGAAATCGAATACTCATTAATTTTTAAATGTATTACATTTGTTAAAAATAAAATAATAAATACTCATGATGGCATCTAAACAACTATCACAACATTAATCACATTATCATACTATGTCATGGTACATGGTATAATTAATCATAGTACATGTTACACCCCATTTTCTCATATATAACAAATATACACTTTTTTATCTACATCATAAATATATTTAAGTTTCAGTAAATTAATTAATTATATTTTAAATACATTATAATTTTAATTCATTTTGAATATTTAATTGTTTATTGATAAATCTTGTACTATACAGGATACAATCAGTAAAATGTGTTTCATTAAAAAACATAGTACAAGTACATAATAAAGAAACTTTACATACGTTAATAAAAAATATTATTGAACGTAGAAGTTACTGTAAAAAATAATGTTCCATTGTTTACGTTATTCATCTATTAATAAAAAATACTTATGGAAAAGTACTCGTGTATTTTCTAATATACACTTTAATCAGTCTGATTTTTACGTGCCTCAGTTACAAAAAATCTAAAAGAAAATCATAAAACATATCAATAAATTTTTTGATATATTTTAGAGCGACCAAAACTTACTTAATTATATTAGGTAAAGTTTTGTAACGGCATATATAGTTATGTCCAAGACCATGTAATGCATCAATTCTTGTCATCTGAATGTGATATGTATTATTTCCATGATAACTCATTGCTGTTTTATACAACTACAAAAATGAAATTGCAAAATATAATATTTAAAATTTTTATAAAACATATAAAGAGAAACTATATCCAAACCTTTTCAGCTAAAGCAAATGGGACAGTCTTATCATCTTCCGCATGTAAAATCATTATAGGGCATTGAATTTTTTCTATATGTTTATCGGATTCAAAACGAAGACAATTATCATAGAATGGTTTAACAATTGCCCAATGAAACCATGGTAAATGTTTAAATATCTAAAAATAAATAAAAAATTTGTCAATTAATAAATAAATTTTAAATAAACTTTAAACAGATGTAAAGCATTTCTTTTTTTTATATAATCTAAAGCACCTGTGCTAAAGGATGACTACTTAATTCATCTGCTATATTATTAAATGGTGACTCCAAGAACAAACCTGTGGGTTGAACTTTTTCTATTGCTAATAATGCCAATACATGTGTAGAAATTCTGTAATATAATAATAATTTATAACTTCTTATTTTGTTATTAATGTTATTACTTTATGTATGTATACAATGTTTGTATGTACCCAGTTCCTAATGAATGTCCCCATACGAAAATAGGTGCTGTACCATTTACCATCTTTAATAACCATTCAAGTACATATTTACTATCGCTAACTACACCTACTTCAGAAAGTTCTACTTCTTCACTATCACCATAACCTAGATATATTATAGAAAATTGAACTTATAGATATCTAAATAGGTACTTATATTCTTAATTTACTAAAATTATAATGTTTTACTCTTACCTCTATAATCAAAACATACAACATGATAATCTAAACTTTGGAAAAGTTTATATAATTCTATACGACGATTACTTGCTCTATTACCACTATTTCCATGCATATAAAGAAAAATAGGTTGTTTAGTATTTCTTAATACAGCTTCATAATCATCAGCAGTTACAATAGTAGAATCATTTAATAAAGACTGAGGTAGTATTTGCCTAAAAATATATTTTACTTAATCAAAATGAATTACATAGGTGTTTATTTATACCAACCACAATCCTATTTTCACTTGTTGATCAGTTTTTAAATAAAAATTTCTTGTTCCTTTCATTCCAATTAATTCAGGTTTTGAAAAATCTACATTAAGTGGCCATTGCACTAAAAGTATGCCATATATTACTTACACATAAAAGAAATGAAAAAGATGTCATGTAAATTTATTTAAATTTATCTATTTACCAAAATTTAAAAAAAGTATCTTCTTTTGCATAGTATAAGAATAGTGAAATATAATAGGTAAAAGTCCACATGTAATAAAATATATAATTATTAATATCATCATCATCCAAAACAAATATCTGCAATACACAATATATTTTACATCATTATGAATAAATAATTATGTTATATAAATATTATTCTTATAATTTATTATAACAATATCCTATTCTTTCTACAAGGACAAAATAAAATGAATAACTGCAAATGAAAATATATAAATAATATTGCTATAATCTTTTTCTAACAAATCATAAACAAAACATAAGGATATGTAAAATATGTATAACTGTACCTTATTAATTTCATAGGAGTTTGATGTACATATTTACAAGTTAAATAATAATTATTACACATTATTTAATACTTGTAATTTGAAAATGGATCAACACAAGTAAAACTCAGAATATCTTATCTGTTTCATAAAATATCTAAAAAATTTATTTTTCATCTTTTAATATTTATTTATATAGTTCTCACTATTTTAATTCTGTTGTAACATATCTTAAATACTATAATAAAAGGATTAAAATAGAAAATATGCTTATTTCATTTGAAAAAGGAACATAAGGAAATGAGAATATAAGCACACAAAGTCATGCATTATAAAATTTAACACTTAAAGAAACAACATAATATAATATTTGAAAATTTATATATCACATCATTAGATACTTATTAATATAATAGAATAAGGCTACTTTTATTGTAATACACAGAAGTTTAAAAAGGTATTGTGCTACTAAAGGTGCTACTATTTTACAAGGAGTTTTAAAAAGCAAAAATTAGAAATAAAAATTATTATTTCAACAAATATGTAAGCTTATGAAGCATTAATAGATATTCATTAATTCTAATAAAAAATTCGAAAAAGTAGGATATGATTATATCATCACAGTGGAGTAACTTACGTTCTTATATACCAAATATCAAGAATGGTCAAAGGTAACATTGCTGCTAGTAGCAGATAAATTGTCTGCATATTTGTTAGTAGCTACCAAACATAAGCTACCTTTTTAATTCCCCTATTAATGTAATTCATTTGTGAATAAGTCATTGTGAGCTACTACTATATATTAATAACATAGCAATAATTAAATTCATTATCATTCATTATATCCATGAAAATGTAATTATATCATAGTTTTAGATTACATTTCATAATAAAATATCATTTCCTAATGAAGATTAAAATTTTTCTACAATTAAAGATAAATGTCAAACAAATTATGAAATCAATAACTTATATAATCTCATAAAAGTTTGTAACCTTCAATTTAATTATAAACAATCTACACACTATCTTAATTAATCAAATTTTATCATTATAGTAATTTCATAATCTGTTATGTAATTTAAGTACAAAATACAGAGTACTTAATTTATAATCTAAATAGTACACACCTCAAAACTGCATACTAATACAAGTTTGAATAATACACTAATATAAAATATGATCATAATATAAACAGATAATACAATGCTGATGAGTAAAAAAATACACTTACTTGAACATATTGAATGATGTATAATATATTCATTAGACAAATTATAATTCAAAGAACATAAATATTTTAAATAATGGAAATAATTACACTTAACAGGTTTAATTGTTTTGAAATACTCATTTCATTAATATATTAAAATGTTAGTATTTATATATTTATGCTACTGTACAATAAATGTTAATTAAAGAAGATAAAGGATTGGAAGTGAATACACGTTCTTTATAAAGCGGTTTTTTTTGTAGCCAATATACTATAATACTTTCAATAAAAAGTATGGAAACAATTTCTATCTTCAGAGAATAGAAATTTATAATTGCAAGTTAAGTACATAAACGATGTAAGTAATACTTTCTACATAAAGCAAAATTAAATTTTTATAAATTATGCTTTTATTTTATATTTAAAAAAAAAGGATCAAATTTTTTATTTCAATACACTCTTACATTTTATAAAAAAAAAACCCACGGAAACACATAGAATACAAATATGGAATGAATCGAATATTTTTTACGTTACATAGGTTAAACAAAAGGGTAAAGAATATGATACAGGTTACAATAGTTACAAATCGATAATTGTTTTTTCAAATTTTCTTTGGATATATTTTACCAAATATTTATAAGAATTATGCTACAATGAATGTTGCGACATTCTCACCTTTTAGTTTCTAGTCCAAGGAATCTAGTTTTTAAACTATAAACTAAAATATTAAATAAATTATGTTCATTATATTACAATCTTTCCTGTAGTAAAATTTAACTGATTATTAAATTTCTAAATATTAATCACTTGTATCATTTTCTTGGAAGTTTATACATTACAAAACAAAAAAATGTATCAATTACTACAAATATACAAATTTTTTATTAAATGTTTGTATGTTAATAAGAGTTTTTATAGCTTCAAATACAGTATAATAATTAAAAGAATAATCTATTTAATAAAATTTATTATTTTACAAAAGTATAGTTTATGGTTATTACATGAAATTTTATTGGTTGATTAATTTTCTTATAAGTAAACTTAGTATAATATTTAATGAATATAATTATATATATTAAAAAAGTTTCACTGTAACATCTTTACAGTGAGTTTTCAAATATTTTATTTATAATATATGGATATATATTTACATATATATATTTATAAATTATCTGTAAAACCATCACTTCGTTAAGATTGTTTCTGACTAGTCATATTTTACCAACAGTGTAAAATTTTTAATCATTTACTAGATACTATTTCTTGAACGAATTATAAAATTAAAAGGTGTTGTAACAATAATATAGTATTTTCAATATATTAAAAAAAAGAAAATATTAGAAATTACTCATAAGAATGACAATCATACAGTATAAACTTACTATTTCAAAAAGATAAATTCTAACCTTATTTAAAGAAATATAAAAGTTTATTTTTTCGAATATATTTTACAGATGAGTCGCAAAGAAGCATTATCTCAGTTTATTCAACAAATACATGGGCGTCCTGTTGTTGTAAAGCTAAATAGTGGCGCGGATTATAGAGGTAATGTCTGTATTTATTAGTGTATTAGAATATAGAACATAATTTATCTATAGACAAATTGTTTCAATTTTACAGGTGTTTTAGCTTGTCTTGATGGTTATATGAATATAGCACTTGAACAAACAGAAGAATATGTAAATGGTCAATTAAAAGCCAAATATGGTGATGCTTTTATTCGTGGTAATAATGTATTATATATAAGTACACAAAAACGTAGAACTTAAGCAAAATAAATATATAATTTGTATTAAGTTTATTTATTGTATCTTACATAAATATCTAAGGAATATTTCTATGAAATTTTTAATATCATTTGATATATCTATATTTCTCTAATTACTACATTAATACTTTTGTAATAAAAAATGCTTCGATGATTTTTTACAAACTGTATTATAGTATTTAAAATCTAAAAGTTATGACTTTTATTCATTTCTTTTGAATTACTTTCAATCTCTTCATCTTCTAAATACAAAGCTTTTTTATTTTCTGCTTGTGCATTTTCAATTTCTTCAAATTTTTTTCTTTTAGCTTGTTCTTTCACTTCTTTAAGTCTTGCAAGTCTTCTTTGGATAGCTTGTTGTCTGTTTCTTTCTATACGTTCTTTTGCTTCATCACTTAATTGTGAAGAAGGAATAGTGTTAGTCATGGATTGAGAATTTATGGTATTAGACTCTGATAATTTATCAAATGCATCATTGTTAGTTGTAGATATATTAAGTGACGATTGATGTATAACTTGCTTTTGTTTTTCTATTTGCTCTGCAATTAATAAATCAAATTCATCAATAGGTTCATCTTGCTCTTTATTTTCTTCTGTATCTATTTTATCCTGATTAATTATATCAGTATCTTCATTAATCATGTCTAATCTGTATTTTTTTATAAAAACTTGCAGATCCTTTTTAGTACCCAATTTCTCTAACTTTTCTAAAAAGTCATCAAAATCCAATTTAGGAAACAGTCTATGACCCCAATGTTCCAGTCTTTTCATAATTCTATCCAAATCTAACTTTTCATATCCTTGCCCATGAAACTTAAAGCCTTCAAAATATTTTTCAATCGTATGAATTCCCTTAGGACCCTTCAAACGTTCTGTATTTAATTTGGGCAGAGGATTTCTTATTATATGCTTTTTAGATGATGTTGCTGGATCAATTCTTCTTCTAGTATTTTTTTCTTCTTTACTTTCTTCATTTTCTGAATCTGAATATTTTTCAACATTACCCTGATGTCCATCCGACTCTTGATTTTCATATTCAGCTACTATATCATCGTTAGTTTCATCATAATCTGAAGTATTTGATAATGTTGTCATAGTCAACAAGTTTTATCCTTACTTCCTTATGCACGTGTGTCGTGTGCGTGCGTGTACGTACGTGCGCGCGTATTTGTGTATATATGTATATTACGTGAGACACTAGTTCTTCGTTTAACGCTAAATTTCTTGAGAAGTCTTTAAACGTAAATATCCTGATACAAGAAACTCTTGAACTTCTTATTTTTCTTATGTAATATACGTTCCTTGGTTATTGAACAATTGTAACGGTAATCCAGCCGACCAGTGGTATGTAGGTTATGTTTTGTAGCAAGTACATTTATATTTTACTTAAAATTCACTGTCATCTTGTGAATCGCAACTATTATTTCCTTTGTCCATGAATTTATCGAACTCATCACCTGATTTATTCATTCTTTCTAAAAGTGATACTAATAATTTCTTGTTTAATCTATCGGTCTGTGTTATTTCCCGCACAACGGGCTCACAATTCGCAACCGGAGGGCGTTCCGTTATTTGCAGCTTCTGTAATGTATCATTTTCTTCTTTCATGGGTGTTCCTGGCATTTTGAATTTTTTAAACAAAATATCACGTTTCACAATCACAAACTTGATTTTGTTAGGAATAATATTATACGATCACTAATAATAATCTGTCACGCAACAACAAAATCTTTTAATCTCGATGTACTACTGTCGTCTTCTGCGCATGTAGATAACTTGTAGGATTTTGTACGCGCCAATATGCTATCATTTTAAACAGTTTAATCAACACTACATCATAATTAACTATGAAATGCTTGCATCTTTAAAAATTTAATATTTAGAACATTTTATATTAATAAAATAATAAGTTGGAAACAAAATTATAATTAAATAAAAAATAAAAATTTTTCAATATGTGTAGAAATACATTTTGAATTTATAATGTATACAAAATATTTCATATACTGCTGATAGCATATTGTAGAAAATGATTAAAAATCTAAAATATTATCTTCTTACTATTTTGTTTTAATGATAAATTATTAAGTGAGAAGGTAAATTTATATTTAAAACTGTTGACATTGTATTTAACGTCTTTTTTAGAATATTCTTAGCATTTTACAAATACATTTATAAAATAGTACGGTCGATGGTCACAAATCCATTTGCAGATGCTATTGAATTTTAATTTTCGACAGATGATAAAAAGATTGCGATCGTCATCATTTATAACCGCCGCATTAAACAAATCGTAAGTTGACTATAGATTAACGCTGCAAACTCAGAGTATCGTCAGTCTCGTAAGAACTTTCGTGGCGTACGGAGTTATCGGATAGCAGAACTAAACAACCTAACTCTGTAAATTGTATACAACTGTGAACTTATCATAAAATTGTCATTTTAACAGAAATTAGGTAAGTTTTAAATACAAACGTTTGCTGTAATTCACAAAAATTTAAGCTGCATCAACTTAAATTTCGATTAAATTTAATTTATAATGTAATAAATATTTATGGACTTTTAAATATTTACATTTAAATATTTATGAATTTAAATAATTAATTCAATTTTGTTGTACAATAGTTACTGAAATAAAATTAATGATCACATTTTATCAAATACAAAATAGCCCTTGTCATTCTGTGATATATCAAATCCATAGAGGTAACGTAATTTCTGTTTCAAGATATTATAAGGATTTCGACGTGGCGTGATCACTAATAACGGGTTGTAAGTTCGTCCCCCACTTTGCATTTGCTCAGTAAATATTTGTTTTCAATGTTATAAATTTTGAAACATGAGAATGAACTTGCATGTTTTGCGTATGTAAATTTTAAAAAATAAATAAATAACAAAATAACAATATATATATTAGTTGAAACATTTACTTACTTATTTTTAAAATTAACATAAATCGTTGATTGGTTCATTTGGTTTGATTGAATCGTATGTTTCAATTATCCGACGGATCAGCCAATCATAAATCTTAACGCCACTGGAAAACTTCATGATTCCATTCGCCAAATAGCATTGACATTTACTCTGTATTGTGCGTTATAGTATAATGAGACAGTCATCATTGAAGATAGTGAAACACATGATCGACATATTTACAATTTTTCTATAAGATTCGAATATTATAAGAAATTAAACTTTTCTTAGTTTCGTATGTTAACAGATTTTTAATAATAAAATAGTTATATACATTCGCCCTAATAATCTGTGATCATTTGAAATGACAAACAATTCATTATCTAATTTATTTGATATAATTTATTTAAATTATTTAATTAATTAGCAAATAAACATTTTATCTGTTTAAAACATTTCGATTATATTATCAATATGTGATCAATATCATACAATAACATCGACCATAATATATAATTGTTTATAAATAAATAACTTAATGACTTTTTAAAGTTATTCCATAATATTATATGTTTTATTCGATAATAAAGAGATAACACAATATTGTTCATTTTCGTATGAAAATAGTGAAATTAGTATGATATTCTTTGGAAATGAAATAAAACGAAGATAGTAAATTCTATTTGTGGTTTCGCAAGACATGTTACAGATAATATTATCTATAAATAAATAAAGGAGTGAAGTATTTATATTCTTTTTATCATATCAATTACTTTACATTTTCTAGAAGCATTTTATTCATTTATAAACATATCCTTTTTTATTACGTCTATTGGTAAAAGTTCACAAAGTAAATTATTCGTACTCGTAGACCTACTTTCTGTGTTTAAATGAATCACTGGCGTTTAACGGTACAATCCTTGGCAGACCATGGGGAAAGAAAATCGGAATAGAAGAAATTATCTGTCATAAAATAGTCGATAATGTTAATTTTGTTCGATCTTATCTTTCGTTCAGTGTCGTATATTCGATCATAAAAGTTTCAAACTGAAATTCAATTTTGCTTAATATTAACATCGATGATTGTTAGTGATTAGTAATTTATGATAAATAAATTATAATTAAAAATAATATTTTTTTAAAATACACGAATATTTCATTGTTTTATTCTACATTTAAATCAGATTCTAAATAAGAATAAATACACAAATATTATTTTGTGCTTTCAACTTTATATTTCGTTCTCTAAACTTTCACGTGAAATAATAACACGTGTTACATGTATCAATTTGATTTCAAGATACATGTCCAAGCGTTGCATTAAACAATTAAACTTTCTGTAATCAGCCTATTGGCTTGTGCAGATAATTAAATATTCAAGTCATGATTTTCCTTATAATTACATATTAATGCAAAAATACCATTTGTTATATAATCCGAAAGTATCAATTTTGTTCTTTCTGTATATCATCTAATGGCAGGGATATATTTGCATGTTCGACGTTTTCGCATTGACTAGATAAGTTTTCACGTAGCTATGAATAATGAATGTATAATTTATTTTTCACTTGTATACTTTAAAACATGCATCGTGTAACGTATTTGAATTTTGAGATTCTAAGAATAATTTTTTTTCTTATTCCTTTTTCTACCGAAAGCAGTGCTTTTATAATACATTTAATATTCATCAGTTTCTTACTGAAAAATAAAAATTCCTGAGAATACATAATAAACCATTTGATATTTAAATGTACCGCCAAAGGGGAGTGTAGTACTCAGTTATTGATTTTTCTTACTCGAGCAATTCTCTCGTAGTATTCCAGCAGGCCAGTAAACTTCAAATTCCATCCAAAATGGTTATTCTACTTTGTAAAGGTATTCCTTTGAATACTACTTAACGTTAAGCCACTTACGGTCAATGGAAAAGTTGTGTAGATTAAATTTTTAAGTGTAGTGCCTCTTAATGGTAAGCATCTCTAAAATGAGCGATATCAGATTTTTGGAGATGAAGATATAACATTAGGACGTGTGATTTAAAGTTAAATAACTTCCGAAACATTTAATAATTTATTCATTTATAAACACGTTTCGGGATATTGCAATTTGCATTTTCCGTTTACGCGTTTTCTTTGAAACATATTAATGTTCCTCTAATCTTCATAATGGTTCTCGACAATAAAAGGCAAAGAATACGTAATGTTAGAATTTTATAGTTATGCATGTCATTCAATTTTTTATATTTCTTTTTATTGCATTTTAAAGAATTTATTTTAAGTGATAAAAACCATTTAAAAACATCATGCTTCGAGATCTATAGCATTACGATTATATACCGACGTTTCGAATAGCACATAAATAAATAAATAAAATCTTCTTCAGGTGTCAAGTATTAACTCGATAATAGTTTATACGATAATAATAGATTAAAAAAAGGTTGAATAACTATCAGATAATGTTAAATGCTATAACATAGAAATGAAATTCTATAAATTAACGGGATACACTTTCATAATAATTTTGGAAATATTCAATTTGCATTGGGTCGAAGATTGAAATGGATCATTTGTATGAAGAGATTTCTATTGCTATGATAGTTCGTAATTGCCCCTATTATGAATCAGTTATGTCAACAACACAAAACAATTAGCAGTTTAATATCATTGTATCAACAGATCGAATTGCTCAATAACTTTGCGTAATTTAAGCTTTAACACTATATTCCGTGGTTCAAAATTAACGATACCTAATACTCTGTTAGACGAAAGATAGAAGAAAGGTATTTAAAGAAAAATTATTTGGTACGAAGGGAGACATAACGTGGTGTACATGCCTTCTTTGTGGTGAAAGTGGTGAATCAAATATCGAGATGAAGTTATTTTTTTTTAACGAAATGCTATATTTTTGTACATTAATAGGAATCTCTCTCGAGTTACTAACAATGTCATTTCGTTCAGTGAAAACTTGCAAAATCATGCGAACATATGTGGTACGCGTTCGTCTAATTACTGTAATATGTATTTTGCCATCTGACAATGAACGTGTATCTGAATCCTTTTGGCAAAGAAATAAGAAACATTGTTTGCATTAGCAACGTAGCCAAGCAATACGAAAACGATTCCAAACGATACATACATTGTCCGTAATTTTCTGATGATTTTACATTCTGTAACAGAAAATGACATTGTTAGCAGCTGATTAAAACTGTATTAATGTATATACGCTTCTTCGTTGTGTATACAATTCCCCATAAAGAAAAGATTTATACCACGTTATGACTTCCTTCATACTAAACAATTTTTGTCCTAATATTTTTCTTTTATATTTCATCGTTTCCGTGATATCTCACCGAGTCCATAAAGAACAGACATCCGTTATACGAAATTAGTAACTAACATTTGAAAGCGATTTATCGTCACTTTTACGTAATTGTATACTATTAGTATGCTGTATATCAAGTGCACTTTGCTCACGTATCGCCTGATGTTTTGGTATAAAATGGAACAAAATAAAATGGGGAAGAAAAACGTATAAGGTGATTAAAATATCGTTGAGATAAAAGACTCGGAGATTATTCCAAATATATTTTCGAAAATTGTGCGAAACTGTAATTTATTATATGACCGAAAAATTGGAAATAATGAAAATTGCACAAAATATTATATTCACGGAAATCTTTTTGTTCATAGTTACATCATTTATTTAATTAAATAAATGTCACTATCTTTCGATTTTATTTAAATGTTTCTTAACTGCGATATAGAGTTGGAGCGTTATATAAATTACATTTGTCAAATTTGATTCATCATATCGTTTCTCGGTTAATTAATTTTGAAAATCTGACTAATTTAAAGACTTTTTGTTGCTTTGAAATCAGTCATGAAATTACAATATATTACTGTGTGTAACTGCGTGATGCACGTGTTCAACAGATCAACTTTTTCGATATTTTTATTATATTTTAATTAATGCGAATAATATTTGATTTCTATTAGCATTAAATAAGATGTAAATTTTTCTAATTGACGTACTGTGATTTATAATTTCATACTAGAAATTGTGTTGGAAATTATCATAATGAATTCATTCGTTATGATTGTATTATAAGACAAATTCTTAATTATTGTTTCTAATTCGTTAGATAACACTTATTACATAATGGAATTTCAGATAATACGAGCATGTCACAGCCAGTCCAAACAAACGGAGTAATAAAAGGGTTTACGTTGAACGAAAAGGTGCGATAGTAAAAAGATGATTAAATAGCTAATTAAATAAGTTTATATAAGTTAAATAAGTGTATATTTCTAATTATTTCATTCATTACTGAACATTATAGGACACAACGAATAAAGGTTCCTATTATGCGAGTTGTAGCGAAACTGGTCGCGATGGTGAGTATCTACGATTTACATATTAAACATTATAAATAGGACATATCTTTTTAACTTGTTCCGTTTATAGGACCAGACCAAGTCTTACCCGCCGATAACTTTATAACAACGAAACCAGATGGACGTGTGCGAATAGAATTAAATGAAGAATATAGTAATTCAGAGCCGCCCATATCAATTCCTGGATTATTCTCAAAGATAGCTAAGACATATCCTGATCACATAGCTTTGGTATCAAGACCTGATGCAGAGAATCATAGCAAAACATATACATATAAGTAAGTGTCTTATGAGAACTGTCCGTATATATAATTTTAAATGTTAACTTATTTGTTAATTTCTATTTTTAGGCAATATGAATATCAAGTGAGAACTGTGGCCAAAGCATTCATCAAATTGGGTTTAGAACGATATCACGGGGTTTGTATTCTGGGATTTAATAGTCCAGAATGGTTTTTTTCCGATCTCGGCGCTATATATGCTGGGTAGATATCTATACGTTTTTTTTTTAGAATATTTTCGATAAATAACACAATTTATAATATCTTTCAGAGGACTTGCTGCTGGAATATATACTACCAATAGTCCAGAGGCATGTCAACATTGTGCTATAACCAGCAATGCAAATATAATAGTTGTTGACGATTCGAAACAGTTACAAAAAATACTACAAATAAAGCACAACCTTCCCAATTTAAAAGCAATTGTTCAAATCGAAGGTGTACCAGAGCAAAAAGACGTTCTGAGTGTAAATTATTTTATTTATATTGAATATATTGATTATTATTTAGTTATATTTGATAGCAGTTTTTGGTTTATAGTGGGATGATTTAATTCAAATTGGTGAAAAAGAATCTGACGATAAATTAAATGAACTTTTAAAAACAATTGCGGTAAACGAATGCTGTACTCTGGTTTATACGGTACGAGAAATTAATTTTTTATACAAATTCTCTAACTTTTTAATTTTTAAATAATGTTATAAAAACAAAGTTGTTTATTTTCAGTCTGGTACAGTTGGAAATCCAAAGGCTGTGATGCTAAATCATGATAACTTTATACAAAATATACGAGCTACGAATAATGTTATGAAATTGAAATTCAAAAATGAAATTATAATTAGTTATTTACCATTATCTCACGTTGCAGGGCAGGTAAATATTATAAAATTTTGTTTAAAAATTTGTATATTATTTTTATATTGTATATGTTATAATTATATTTCTTTAAATGATTGTAGGTAATCGATATATTCTACAGCATTTACGCAGTCGCCACAATATATTTTGCAGATAAGGATGCTTTTAGAGGCAGCTTAATTAATACTATGGTCAAAGTAAGACCAACCACGTTTATAGGTGTGCCAAGGGTATGGGAGAAAATTCATGAAAGAATGCAAGCAGTTGCAGGTAATAGCGGGTTTATTAGAAAATGGATTATTTCGTGGGCAAAAGCACAGGCACTTCATTATAATATAAATAAAATGAATGGTAATGATCACAAACACTGGGGCTACATATTTGCTAAGTGGCTAATTTTTAACAAAGTAAGGGCATTGCTTGGTTTGGATAGATGTAACCTGCAATTTACTGCAGCTGCACCTTTAAGTAGTGAAATCAAACAGTACTTTATGAGTTTAGATATTGTTCTACTCGAAATATATGGTATGTCTGAATGTACTGGTCCGCATCTTTGCAGCACACCTGAAAATTTCAGGTAAATATTTAATTATTTTTTTATAGTTTTATTTTACAATGATATTCCTAACTTATTTAATATTCAGATTAGGTAGTATTGGTCGAACTATACCTGGATTTTATACAAAGTTGGCTAATCCAGACAGTAACGGCGAAGGAGAAATTTGTATGCGCGGGCGAAACGTATTTATGGGATATCTAAATGACCCTGAAAAAACAGCAGAGACATTGGATGCAGACGGATGGTTACATAGCGGTGATTTGGGCAAAATTGATTCATGTAATTACATATATGTTACAGGCAAGAACCATATATTTTTAAATATATATATTTTCTATTTCGTTTACTGATATTTTTTATGTAATATATCTTTGTATTGAACATAGGAAGAATAAAAGAATTAATTATCACTGCTGGTGGAGAAAATATACCTCCAGTTCATATAGAAAACCTAGTACTAGCTGAATTACCTGTATTAAGCAATGCTTTACTAATTGGAGATAAACAAAAATATCTTACTATATTGGTTACTTTAAAGGTAAGGCAATAAATTTTCAAAAATGATAATATTTATATTATTGTAAATTTTGTAATTTCTGTGTATATCAGACTGAAATAAATAGTGATACTGGTGAACCAAAAGATAACTTCACTGAGGCTACTTTAAAATGGTTACAATCTATTGGGAGTACATCAGAAACTGTTTCAGATGTGTTGAAAACACATGATTCACTTGTAAGTTTATGTGTGAAAAGCTTCACTGAAATAATGTACAAATTTAAACAAATTTACACAGACCGCCTATAAATCTTACTTTTTTTCAGGTATATAAAGAAATTGATAAAGCAATTAAAAGAGCAAATACTAAAGTTATAAGCAATGCACAAAAAATACAAAAGTTTCGAATTTTGCCACACGATTTCTCACTTTTTACTGGAGAGTTGGGACCAACACTTAAAATTAAAAGGAATGTTGTTACTAAGATGTACGAAAATTTAATAGAAGATATGTATAAATAAATACACGTGGAAATCTTACTTATAAATATACAAAAAGAAAAAAAAACAGGACGAAAAAGGAAAAATATTTCCGAAGCAAATACTGAAATTACTCTTAATATACCTGCATAAAGTGTTTTAATACTTAAAATTGTGAAATTACACAATTACAAAAACTCTGGTACAATATTAATTTCAATTATAAAATATTTTATAAAAGTTTAATTTCATAAATCTCATAAGATTCTTTATTTTCTTATTATAGTATATATACATATAAATTATTTTTTTTTAAATTGGCCCATAATGTATAGAATATTTATAAGTACTTACTACATATATTATAGTGTATTTAAATAGAACTTTTGTCTTTTGGTGTAAAACATTTTGTAATTTGTTATAACAAAGTTGTTACTTATCAATATGTTCATTTTTATGACAATAAAATTTACTGTAATTGTTTTTTTGGTATTTGATTATATATAAAATAAAAAAAAAAGGAAATATAAAAATGTCTAAAAATAGAATAAGTGCCTTTGTATGTAAAAATTATATAGATAATGTGTAATTTTTTAATTAAATTATATTTGTGTTTTTACACATATGAATACAATAATATTGAATATTTTTGTAGTATAGTCAATGCTATTATATTATATAACATTACATTTAAAAAAATGTACAATTATATTTAATATATCAGTAAAATGCAGTACTTAAATTATATAATGAAACATGTAATTCATTTTCATTAAAAGAATTTAAAACTGTTGGTATTCTTGTTCAATTTATTATATATAGCTGAAACACTAACGAATAAAAAGAATACAAATTTCTGTTAATGTACTTATTAATATGATATAATACTTCTTAGAATAGTTTTATTTGAATTTTATAATTAGTTAATGATGTAATAATAAAATTATACATATATCACTTATATGTGGTTAAAATGCTTTGTAAGTGCACTTTTGTTATTTTACTATGCTAATTTAATAATTTTTTTTTTGTAAATATAGGAAAATGTACTATTAAATATACATCTTATTATTTATATAACAACATAAATTTATTAAGATTTAAAAGCTTATTATTTAAATTTCCTTTTGCCAAAATAATGGATAGGTAACTAAATAAATATGAGTAAGTTTAAATTGCAATATATTACTAATGTAGTTTACAATAACCAAAACAACTGCTATATTTAAGATTGTTTTATGCTACATACAGATTCTTATGATAATCTGACATCTTATAAGAATATAGTCTTACTAAGCACATCACAGCAACTTTGGAAATGCAGATCTGTATAATGTCTCATCCAGAAACTCTATTACATATACAAGTGGTTACATTTGCATTGTTCTCTTTTATCACCAATCTTGTATTTTTAAATATCTAGTTTCATTGCTTATTTTAATAATAAATTTTGAAATCTCACTTTTATACTTGTGAATCTAAGATACAATTTATTATGGCTCTAAATATTAACCCAAACAACAAAAAGGTAATTAATTATTGACATGTTCACTCATAATAAAAGGTAAATCAGAATTACAATATTTGACACATAATACGTTATAATAAAGTATTATTATATCTATTCTTTTAAGTGCCTCAAAGAACTCCAAGTATAACTTTAAAGAAATGCTTCTATGGCACATTGTGTTAAAGTGTATCAGAAAGAATACATATTACTGTGAACATAAACCTTTTACATCAATGTACTAATAATGAATAAGCATCCAAAAAATATTATGAAAATTATACCTTTAAGATAATACCATCTATAAAATATAAAGATATTGGATTCTTTAAAATTCAGATTATTTATAATCGCATCACATCACTGGAGTTGCAATACTTTTAAAATATTACAAATATTTATGATGTACTTGTTGTATTAAATTTTTGTTGAATGATAGATGTTTTTCGTTGTGGTACTGTTTCAGGTGTAGGTATAGCATCACCTGTTGGCAAAACACCAGCTGGCTTTGGTTTAGCTGTATATTTTTGTTTTGCCATTTGATAATCCCCAGAATCAAAATATTTTTGCTGAAAGTGTTTTATATATAACTTAGACAATTTTTACTAATACAATTCTCATTACGCATATATATATCATAATACCATAGTTACTTTTAAGCACTATACTAAAAAAATTACTTATTAAACAACAGAAGTTTAAATGATATATTTATAATTTTACCCCTTTGGCTAGCCTCTTTTGTAGAAATGCTGAATGTCCACTAATAGGACGTCCAGTATTTGGAAATTTTGCTCTTAATTTTGCTTCTTCTATTTTTTCAATGTCATTTGAAGATAACTGAAACAAAAATTATTTCACATTTTTTAATTTTTACCATGTACATATGTAATTAAGAAAATGACCATGACAAATTTTTTTATTTTAATTTAATATGGTAATTATCCCAATTTTTATTTGTTTTTAGTTAATCCTAAATATTATTTCCGGAGTTGCAATATAATTAGGTATTTCTTTAATTTAAATATAATAATAATTATAAAACGTTAAAAATTTTAGAAGCTCAAAAGAGAACTCGAATACCAATTAAAAATTATAAATATTGCATTACTTTACATATTAAACAACTGTCAAATTAAAATCATTTTATCTAAGGCCTTACTTCAACTGTTTCAGACAATTCATTTGCTTGATCGTTACTCATCGTTGCTGATTCTAATCACTTTTTCTAATGATGGGTTTTAAAATTTCACAAGTATCGGTTAATACTCGTTTTAGCACTACCGTATAAACATATAGCACAAGGAACACCAATATTTTTTATTTAAACTTGGTTTCGTTTATACAAAATTTATTCATTCACAATTTTATTAATTTTAACGTTACCGAAAACAAATAACTGTCAATGAAAGTATACTTAAAAGATAGCAACAACGTTTCGGATACAGTCATATGTTTCCAGCAACCGTTACCAGAACTCGATCTAGGTGCGAATTTTCATGACGTACACAAGATAAAAATCAATATTGAAATAACAATTTAAAAATATACGTTATTATTAACTTATGTAAGTGAGTTGTCATTAAATGTGCTAATAGTGTGATGTATATGTTCATTTCCGGTTGATAAAAATGGTAAATGTAAAAATTTCATTTCGTTCTATATCTCTTCATTGGTGTGAAAACCTGTCTTAAATTTGCGCATACATTTAAAAATTATGTAAATTTTCTTTTTAATGTTATGTTATCAGAGATTCTGAAATAAAATAATATTAAATTTAAAAAATAAACATAATGTATGATAAACTTAAATATATTAATTATAAATTAAGTTTATTAATTGATAAGCCGCATTTTAAAATCGATAAAAATATATGCATTTAGGAACAGTCAAGGAAGAGCGCGATTTAGAACCGTTTTTTGATGAAGTAGACATTAATAAATAGATCTGACATGGAGTATAATAGTGAGGTAAAATGTACAAAATTTATATTTTTTGTAAAAATCTACTTTAAATTTTGATAAAATTTTAAAACAAAAACATAATAAAAATACAGCAAAGTAATATGGTAATTAAGATAAAATTTTGAACAGGTGGAATCATTTTCGCAAAATTCTTCTTGTTCGAGTACAACTTCAAACGCAAGATACCGAAAAGAAACTATTTCACCGGAAGAACAGTCACTCTTACAATCCGTGCAAGAAGGAATATTGGAAACAAATGAAGAAAATATAGCTTTTACAAAAGAAATATTACTGTTATTGAATGAATTAAATTTAGAACCACAATCCTTGTCTAATGACATCAAAGAAGGGTTGCAAAAAATAGCTTTAATCCTAAGATATGAAAAGTTGAATGATCTTGATACTGTTACATTGGATATAGTATGTGAAAAGAAGAAAATAGAAGAAAAAAAAAGACAGCACGAAGAAAAACAGTTAGCATTATTACATGATGATCTCTTTAGAAAATGTTCTAATTTTTCAAAGAAACTTAATAATTTAGCAGAGGCAGTAAGAGATCTTGAAACCCTTGTTGAAGATTCTCAAAAAGATAAAAATATTTCCCTTGATTGCATTTCATTATCTACAAGATTAAAAGAATATCAACAAACTGTAGAAAAGTTGGAAAATGATTTGACAGATATGCAAATTGAGGATCTTTACTATAAAAGAATATTAAATAAATATCATAAATACTTAGAAATGTCAGGTGAATTAGCAGAACTTAATCAATATCTTAGTCAATATAGGGACTTGCCACCAAATTTACTACAAGCTAAAGCTCTAGTTGAAGTGAAACAAAAAGAATATGAAACCTTGAAGAATGTATTTTTAAAAAAAACAAATTATCTTAAATGATAGCTATAACAGTATTGTTAATTAATATGTTAGCTATAGTTATTTTGTAATTGTTTTATATTTATATAACAATATAAAGGAGAAATATTATATACATTTTTGTACAAGTTTTCTTTATTTAAAAACCATATTTTGATTGTGTTTGTTTTCTAGTTAATCTATTTTGTGCCCATTGATTTTTTAATTCCATTTCCATTGCCTTAGCTTGATGTGCTAAATATGTTATTTGATGTTTCTTTTTAGACTGAGAACTTACTCCACCACCTTGCATAGATATTGGTCTTTGTATAGGTTCTTCTGTTAATGCTTTTACTAACCATTCTCTTTCATCTGGTTTAATATCTTCTCCATTTATTTCTATAATATTTACTTCTTCGATTTCTTTAGGTTTTCGTTTTACTCCTCTTTTCCCACAAAGATATTCAATAGCTTTGTCATCGAAGGCTACATTACCTTCTGTATCTACATTATACTCTTGTTCAGGTACTGGTAATTTTGGACCTACTTCTGTTTTATTTTTTAATAGTATTTCTTCTTTTGGTAAATTTATGATATTACTTACTAATGTTTTCTGAGATTTATTGATACAGATTTCCATTACAGTTTCATTGGAATTATTAATAAGGTAGTTAGATAAGTTACTATCTCTATTGGAGTTACTTTTAGATTTTGAATCAAAGTTATTTGAATTTGTGTCAGTATTTAATGAGTCTGAAGATGGTAAGGTGGAAATTGAAACAGTATTAGATGCTTTTAAAGAAAAGAAATCAGTAATAGAATTACTATCGCTACTTTGAACAGTATCATCTTCATCTTCAGAATTTGATTCATTAGTTTCATTTATAGAACTTTTTATTGTTACAAATTCTGTGGCTTTGGTTACATTTGAATCTTTTGTATGTGTATCTTTAGTAGCTTGAACTTTTATTCGATTGGTCTCTGTAGTAGCTATATCAACAACTCGAGGTACTAAATTATTACTATTTTTGACTTCAATTCCTTTAGGTGGTGGCAATAACATAAAAAGTTTGGTACCTTTCTGAAATTATATGTGAAATTTTGCTTAATCTATGATAGATTACATATTTATACATATATAAATACTTACACTCGATGGTTTAATTTTATTAGATTTGAACTCATTTTCCTTTGTGACATCTGCAAACTAAAAAAAATTATATTGATTTATGAAATACAAATATATATATGTGTGCAGCTAATAATTTATCTTACTTCAGATAAGGATGGTACTGTTATTTTAACTGGAGCACGATGCTTTTTTATTGGTTTCTCAAATATAATTTCCTTTTCCATAGGAATATCGTCTGCTTCTATAACATTTGTTGTTTCAATAACAAAAGTTCTAGGCTTAGGCAACTTATCAAAGTGTATTTTTTCTGATAATTCATTTGTCTTGCTTATCTCTATGTTAATGACACGTTCATTATTTTCTTGTACAAAGGTATGTCTTGGAATAGGTAAATGTAATTTGTCGCTTGTTAAATCTGTAATTTTCGGAGTAATTTTATTTTTATTTTCTGTCTCAGAGTTATTTTCTTCTTCATTCGAACTTTCATCGCTACTTTCATATGCAACAAGACTCATTTTCAAAGAAAGAATTATTTATATAAATAAAACCAGTTATTCGATACAACAGATACGTCAAAATTATAACCTCAAAAAAGTGGTAACTATATAATCATACGCAATACATGAAATGTACTATTTAATATATTTTTGTGTTGCATAACTCAAAGTTTATAAATATCTTTATCGTTGTAGTAAGGTTTCCGATATTAAAACTTTAACAAAGAGGATGACTCAATTGTAACTAATCGCAATATCACCGCAACAGCGATCAAACAAGATTACTGTACACGAAGTAGAGAACAGACACATCATCAAATATATGAAAAATAGAGTTTCTATTCTACGTCTTCAAGACTACAAAAGTCATTACGATTGTAATGTCATCTCCAACATTCAATACAAAATAAAATTACAATATTAGTAGTAATTAGAATTAAATTTGGAAATTTTACGAAACATGGATATTCCTTTAATTATTATGTCTGTATTAAATGTTTATTAACTAATACTAATACAAAACTAAATTTTTAAAAAAGTTTATTTTAGCATTGACAAAGACAATATTACAAGTTTATTAACCCCTTCGCCTACAATATCGTGTGAGACTTGTAGTAAGGAAATTGGGCAAACATGAATATCATGGGTGAGAGTCGTGGCTCATAGATAGAACCCAATGTAAACAATACTAATCAGACTTGTAGCTAATTTTTCTAGCTCGACAAGTTTCAACTTGTTAGTTACGTATTATTTTTTGTCGCGTTCACACGAAATGGTATGACATATGAGTGAGTTTATCGTTGATTATGGTACGCGCCATCGGAACTTAAATCGTTGGGCAAGGTATCTTATTTATTTTAATCTATTTTATCTGTATTGTTGGTTAAGAAGGTTACGTTGGATATAAATACTTTCGAAGCTTATCGTTCTAATTCGTAGATGGCAAAAATTCCTGATTTTTTGCACGATCGGTATTCTAGAACATAAACAATCAACTCCTATAAATCGATAACTTTATACTATATTTTGCCTCTGATACTACATTTTAATATTTCCAGGGACGATTATTATATCTTATTGATCGTATCTTATTGGTTATATTTTATTGCCACAGAACATAGTAGGAATCTGTAAGTAACTTGTATCTAGCGAACTAATGATAAAGATACTTTCGAAGTTGGTTACCAGATGTCACAAATATTATCATTTGAATGTTCTTTTTATTTCACGATTACGGAAAACATTCAAACGTCGTATTTCAAAAAACGTACGAAATCGAATCATCGCTTTATTACCGTTTCAATTTTCAAATTCTCGTTTACTTCGACAAACTCGTCCACAAACCTCTCCATAGAAAAAGCAGACCTCTCTGCCCAAAAAAGAAACTAGAAATCCCTATCATCCTATTATAATATAACACCAATCTACCTCGCGCGTCTAATTTCTAGTAATTTTCGATTTGAAACCTCTTCGTGTCCGCGATTAATTCCCGTATGCACGTATAATCACCGACGAAATACTCGTTTGCGTTTCCTGGCAAAAGAAACCGTAGAGACGCGACGGAAGGAAGAAAAATGTGAAAAGTAGAAAAAAGGAAAGAAATTCGGATTCGGTAGCCTGGAAGTAGCCAGGGCACAACTCTATCCGTATATGCGGAGGCTGGCGACGAGGAGGGATCACCCCCGACCCTGATTCGCTCGTCTGAAAACCTTGCTCTTTTACGCAATTTTAGCGTTTATTAAAGTTTGCTCGCAAATGAAACGAAGCCCATATAACCTACCTAATTTAGCGAGTAGCATTTTCGAGTGGGGGCCACTCCAGGAGAGGAGGAGAGGCCGGGTTCTATTGACAGCGGTTATTGCCTAACTGCGTGCCTCCACCTAATATGCCCGCTCGGGGATTCGCATGCAGGGCCGCTCGAACGAAAACTGCGAAACACGCCTGTGAATCTTTAATTCCGCCGGTGGTAATCCAGCATCCCTCTCTTCTCCGGCTGCACTTCCTCCCCTTCCATCCCAGTCAGCCGGCCTATTCGAGCTTGATTTTTCCCTGGGTTCGCGAGAGGCGAGCTGTGTATCGTATGGGAATTCTTTATCGTCCGTTTGCAAACGAACCCCCGGCATCGTGCTGACTTTTCATTTATACGATCGTCGATACTTGTGCATTACGCATTCATTTCATCTTTCTTTTCCTATTTTTCTTCATCTTTTTTCTTCCCGGTCTACACGCGCGTTCATATATGCACACGCGCGCGCGCTCGCGTTTCCTCCTTCGATCCCATGTAGTATACACCTATTTCGATTAATTAACGACGATGTTGTCGGGGTTTCAAAGTACACGGGTTTTTCTATCCCTTTCTTTCCTATTTTGTTTTTTCTGTTTCATTATTTATTTATTTATTTTTTTTTTTTCGCAGTTTGGTTTTATCCACCTCTTCCATATTTTTCCCTCTCGGTCGTCACCGTATAAATTTTTGATGGAAAATCCGATCGAAATGCGCGCGCCATGAGAGGTTCATTTGGTTATCAGTTATGAAAAAGTATTATTTTTTCCTATCATTTTTATTTCCGTCTTTTTTCCCCTCGTTGTTTTCCGAACGCGCACGAAATAACTTGATCCTTTATCCTCGCGATCGAGTATCATCATCGCGTATCATGATACGAGGAGAGCGTATCGCTCGATCGTTGGAAAAATGCGCCAGAGAGGCACTTAAAACGATTACCATATATACGTGCACGTGTATGTATATATATTTAAAAAAAAAAAAATATTTTTTTCCTTTTTACGAACACGTTAGATCCCCCCCCACTCCCTAGCGGCGCGATCGACCGCGCGCGCGAAATATCGAATTCACGGGGATTTCGAGAAACGAGAGCCGCGCAACGATCAACACTCGCGCGCATTTTTCTTTTTCTAGTCTAGCGTGCACGATCGCGAGCGGATGCGGGAGCAAATGACGGCCCTGCCTGCATTTGAAACTCTGTTAACTCTCCGAATATTAGCTCGTCGAGCGAGATTAACCCCATTGTACCCCGTTGAAAATGATGACATCACCATTAAACTCCCGTCGGCTTACGGAAATTGATTAAACTATCAAATTAGCTCTACTAATATCAACACATCAACGCCGGAACGCCGTGTGTCTGGCTGCGGAGGTTTAAACCCCGACGACGACGACGATGACGTGAATTTACGTGTCCAACGATCGGTTCGACGTTCGCATTCACAGGTCTGATTATATTTCCTAAGAGGTCCGCAATCACGGATGGAGTCTGCTGCATGCGCGTTGGATTTCGAAGGAACGAGCTTAATATACCAATAACATCGCCGAGGGGCGCGTGTACGATCTCGGGACTCGCGAGCGGAACGGCTGCATGGAAATAAATTTTCGCACGGTTGTCAGGACACGTCGCGTCGAGTCGCTTACGAGGCTAATTAATTCGCGATTTCTAATTTTTTGGCCAATTCGAATTTTCCACGTGCGATCGTAGATCGCAGGATTCGACTGGGAACGTCGTTACCGTAAATATCCTCGCGTCACGCTCGACCACAGGTTGAACGCGATCCTTTTCGCGTTGGCGCCTTAATACCACAGTCTCCTAATTAATTCGCGATTCCTAATTTTTCGGCCAATTCGAATTTTCCACGTGCGAGCGTAGATCGCAGGATTCGACTGGGAACGTCGTTACCGTAAATATCCTCGCGTCACGCTCGACCACAGGTTGAACGCGATCCTTTTCGCGTTGGCGCCTTAATACCGCAGTCTCCTTTTCGAACAGTCATTAAACGATAATTACGTATTAGAGGTTCCCAAGTCCAGTGATTTATTACCTCGTTCCGACGACGCAGCGACAACGTGTTCCGGGAATACTTGTAGCAACGATTCTACCGATGGGCCCGAGTTAGACAAATGCGGTTCCTAATCCATTTTACCTCGTTTTGCGATTCTCCGACCTCGTAATCCGGCGTGCGAGCGTAGCTTGTTCGACGCGGCTCCGTTTCCAAGAACGGTTCCGCTTTCATTCCCCTTTCGCATTAATTTTCACATTTGAAATCCGATTATACGCTCCGCGACTACCGAATGTAAGTAATTTGCTCGTAAGAACGAAAGTCTTTGATATATCGGCATTCTGGCGTCTCTTCTCATATAAACCATACATACGATTCGCGCGATTACTCGGCCATGTAACTGCACAGGGAAACGTGTAGGTGTGTCGAAGCATCCCTTTGCATGCGGCATCCAGGAACTACGGAGCGTTAGATGTACTGTCAAGGGAAGTGTGAACAATTTCGTGCATTGTCGAGACTATAATATGGATGGCTGGCAGGATAATTATTGGAGGCCGTTTGAATCTAACTGTTTCCTTCATTAGCAGTCTCAGTTCGCTCGGCTGTCTCCTTCTCCCATTGCCGCCTCCGCCCTCTCCTATCTCTATCGCTTCTTCTCCCGTTCTCTCCCTCTATCTGAATTTTGTGCAGAATTACCCACCATTATCATAATTGCGCTATTACCGATAATATCTGCGACTCAGCTTCGAAACTGTACCTCGATGCTCTTAATCCATTTTCTATTTGGACAGCGGGCTTTCGGTGGACGAGAAGTCGCAAATTCCGTTGCGTAATTTCCGCCCCATTGAGCGTCTCTCTTAGGTATGGAATTATGTGTTTCGCCTACGGACGCCGTGCCTGCGATTGCCAACGCGAAAACGAAGCTTCGCCAGCCGTTTCGTGGCGCATCGATTAAAAAAGCTTGCCCACTTTCACGGTTCTCACCTTTCCCAGCTTTTCCATTCCGATGGCTTTTCGCTTCGCGGGGGTTCCTACTTTACGAGACTTCCATTTTATGGCAGATTCGCGTCACGGCTTTCGGACGTCGCGATCGTGACAGCGAGTCAACGTCGTTATCGGGAATTATCCCGGGATCCAGATGAATTTTCGCGACGAAGGGGGTGGGAGAGAAAGAAAAGGATCCGCGTCGAGATCCTCGAGATCTTCGACGTATCGATCCCTCGTGCTCCTCGTTGGCAATTAGGAGGGACAGCAGGTGGTAAGCTGAACGTGA